GATTTTGTTTTCTGCATAGTTTTTCCATGCCGACTAGAGTACAGTTGTCTTTACCTAATGACTTCCCATCGTATATTGGCAAACCAGGAAAATGACTAAGTATTTTCAAAGAGAAAGAGAGTTAGTTGCGCATTCTTTAAAAGACGTTGCATTTTTTGGGGAGGGCAACCGGGGTACGGTTTCACTCCACCATATTTGTGTGACTAATCCAAACTGATATCACTTCACCATATTTGTGTGACCAACACATACTGATATCACTCCACCATATTTGTGTGACCAACACATACTAATATCACTCCACCATATTTGTGTGACTAACCCATACTGATATCACTCCACCATATTTGTGTGACTAACCCAAACTGATATCACTCCACCATATTTGTGTGACTAGCCCATACTGATATCACTCCACCATATGTGTGTGACTAACCCATACTGATATCACTCCACTATATTTGTGTTTCTTGCCCATACTGATATCACTCCACCATATTTGTGTGACTAACCCATACTGATATCACTCCCCCGTATTTGTGTGACTAACCCATACTGATATTACTACACCATATTTGTGTGACTAAAATATACTGATATCACTCCACCATATTTGTGTGACTAACCCATGCGGATATCAGTCCCCCGTATTTGTGTGACTAGCCCATACTGATACCACTCCACTATTTTTGTGTGACTAACCCAAACTGATATCACTCCACCATATTTGTGTGACTAACCCATATTAATATCACTCCACCATATTTGTGTGACTAACCCATACTGATATCACTCCACTATTTTTGAGTGACTAACCCAAACTGATATCACTCCACCCTATTTGTGTGACTAACCCATACTGATATAACTCCACCATATTTGTGTGACTAACCCACACTGATATCACTCCACCATATTTGTGTGACTAACCCACACTGATATCACTACTATTTTTGTGTGACTAGCCCATACTAATATCACTCCACCATATTTGTGTGACTAACCAACACTGATATCACTCCACCATTTTTGTGTGACCAACACAAACTGATACGACAATCGAGAATGACATGAGGGCAGATGCGTAACAAGGGACCTAAACAAATTTATTCTGTGTCCTGAAATGATTTTGTTTTCTGCATAGTTTTTCCATGCCGACTAGAGTACAGTTGTCTTTACCTAATGACTTCCCATCGTATATTGGCAAACCAGGAAAATGACTAAGTATTTTCAAAGAGAAAGAGAGTTAGTTGCGCATTCTTTAAAAGACGTTGCATTTTTGGGGGAGGGCAACCTGGGTACGGTTTCACTCCACCATATTTGTGTGACTAATCCAAACTGATATCACTCCACCATATTTGTGTAACTAACCCATACTGATATCACTCCACCATATTTGTGTGACTAACTCATACTGATATCACTCCACAATATTTGTGTGACTAACCCATACTGATATCACTCCACAATATTTGTGTGACTAACCCATACTGATATCACTCCACAATATTTGTGTGACTAACCCATACTGATATCACTCCACAATATTTGTGTGACTAACCCATACTGACATCACTCCACCATATTTGTGTGACTAACCCATACTGAAATCACTCCACCATAATTGTGTGACTAACCCATACTGATATCACTCCACCATATTTGTGTGACTAACTCATACCGATATCACTCCACCATCTTTCTGTGACTAACCCATACTGATAAAACTTAACCATATTTGTGTGACTAACCCAAGCTGACATCACTCCCCCGTATTTGTGTGACTAATCCATACTGATATCACTAAACCATATTTGTGGGACTAACCCATATTGATATCACTCCACCATATTTGTGTGACTAGCCCATACTGATATCACTCCACCATATTTGTGTCACTAACCCATACTGATATCACTCCACCATTTTTGTGTAAATAACCCATGTTGACATCACTCCACCATATTTGTGTGACTAACCTATACTGATATCACTTCACCATATTTGTGTGACTAACCCATATTGATATCACTCAACCATATTTGTGTGACTAACCCATACTGATATAACTCCACTATTTTTGTGTGACTAACCCAAACTGATATCACTCCACCATATTTGTGTGACTAACTCATATTAATATCACTCCACCATATTTGTGTGACTAACCCATACTGATATCACTCCACTATTTTTGTGTGACTAACCCATACTGATATAACTCCACCATATTTGTGTGACTAACCCACACTGATATCACTACCATTTTTGTGTGACTAACCCATACTGATATCACTCCACCCTATTTGTGTGACTAACCAACACTGATATCACTCCACCATATTTGTGTGACAAACCCATACTGATATCACTCCACTATTTTTGTGTGACTAACCCATACTGATATAACTCCACCATATTTGTGTGACTAACCCACACTGATATCACTACCATTTTTGTGTGACTAACCTATACTGATATCACTCCACCCTATTTGTGTGTCTAACCAACACTGATATCACTCCACCATTTTTGTGTGACCAACACAAACCGATACGACAATCGAGAACGACATGAGGGCAGATGCGTAAGAAGACAGATTTAATAAACACACGCACACACACAAACATATATTCTCTATCTTGTACAATACATTGCTGTGAATTGTTCATTAATTTATAAATGTTTATTTCAGTTCTGACAGATGAGCAGCAAACCCAAATAAATATCAGATACTGACTGGTGTCGGAAGGCAGGGGCATCTAGTATACACAATAGCCACTGAAACATTACTCCTGCTTCATCGTTGGGAATATACTTATTGCTAGAATGTTACTTTCTGTTGTTTGTTGTATGTGTGTGTGTGTCTGTGCGTGTGTGTGTGTTAGTATTTTGGGAAGAATCAATAGACAGGCTCTGACGTGGACAACATGAACTGAGGAAACAGGAACGTTCCAGAAAAATCCTTAGAAGAAAGTTAATGAGAGAGTGACCAAAGATGAAAAGGATTCCGTCCACAAGTTTGAAAGAAATGGCACAAGACAGGATGCAACAGCCATCTCTGTCTGATATATAATAAGTGCAGTGTGATGAAGAGGTTAAATCTACAGCCATTCCCCGCCTGTCCTGTCCTCACAGGCATCACTGGGCCCTGCACAAGTCTGTAAATAATCGGTAAGACCACTGCAGCACAACCACAAATGTATTGAAGCAGCCGGACATACAACAGTGGACATTCAGCGTCTGGAGAAAAATCTATAGCTAAGGAGGGGGGGGGGGCGGTTACAATATACGGCAGGACAGTGTTTTTCTGTAGTCAATTTAATGACTACATAATTTTAATGACTCTGTAGAGTTTACGGTCCACTATTGTTCTTTCTGGTCAAACGTTTGCCCTAATGTGTCACATTCGGTGCAGTCCTGGAGTACATGTTCTGCTCTCTGGGGCAACTTTCCACATGTGCACATGACTGATACGCCTGTCTTGAATTGTATGTACATGTTATGTCCTGTTCTGACGCGAAGGATAATGACTTGTTCTGATCTATTCGAAACAGAATAATCGTCTTGTGCAGAGGGTGCTGGTTTCCTGAATGATTTAATGACCAATTTCTTTTAACTGGTCTCTCACTCCGTTTTCTCTATCTCATTACAAGTACAAATGTACTCACTTTCAAAACTGCAAGACGCCAGACTTGATACTTTCTTGAACCCACGCCCTTACCCCAGGGAACTCACCTTCCCACCAGGTTGAAAACCTTTGCCCTATATAGATCTACAGAACAGGCAGTCTCAACGCAGTTCACAAAGAGGGATTGTATTTCATATTCGAGAACTGATGCTGTTCTTTGAACTATTCTGCATTTGACATGGTTAAATATGTCACTTCTCTGCTAATAACTGTGTACCTCCGTAATTATTAACTATGCAAAATTAGCAAACTTTTTCAGACATGTTCCTTTTATCTTGCTTTTCCATTTTAAATAAAACTAATTTATTTGTCCATTGTCCCTATTACTTTCTTTTTTTTTTTAAACTAAAACTTCGGAGCTAACTTTCCGTTGCAAGTGCCTACACTTCAGAAACACTGAAAAGTAGTTTATACAAAGCTTACACAAAGGATCCGTTCCAGAGATATTGTCCTGCCTGCTTGTTGCACACCACCAGGACATCACACAAGCAATAAACACCTGGTGACACAAAGTGCCACCAAGCGGATGAGGATCATCTCGGGAGAGGTCCCAGAAACCCCTTTCAGCCGTTATATCCCGGAAAAAAAGCCAGACTGGGGCTAAATAGCGACAAATTGTATCCCACAAGGGGATGACTAAATATAACAATCATGTCCTGCCCTGAAGCTGCAAGCTTTCCATACGTAGAGAACACAAGAGAAGACTCTACAGAATGCCTGTGTGTCTTAACTACGTCATTCACTAGGTGTTAATTAGTCCACATAATTATGGGTCCGGCCCATGTGCCAGATGCGATACGGCCATGGAATGAGTTCTTTACTATCGAAACAAATGGCGTTCGAGTCTGTGTATGTTGGCATCATTCAGTAGTATTTAACTCACTATACACCAATTAACAGTTATAAACTGTGTCGCTATGGCACACGATTTATTTTCATCAGTCAATCGGAAGCTAATTTTGGAATAGACCTCGTATTGAGCCTATTTGTTATTTTTAATATTATTATTAATAGCCTCACTGTTCACCTGTTTAAGCTCTGAATGAAAGTTCTGCTTATTCGTCGATTTCTGGATTTCGATTTTGTTCAAGAACTTGAGATCATTCGTTATACAGCTACAGTTGCTTATTTTCTAAGCTCCCCCCCCCCCCCCCCCCCATCAACATGGATCACCAGCGCCCACACGAAATCTGTTAGTCACCATCTCCCATAGCTGTGCACCTCACAACTCTCACACTTAAAATAACAAGAAATGAAATATAGTATTCAGCAGACAAATGTATTTCCCAACAATGTCAGAGCACAGATTTTAACCTGTGTATGGTGTGAAGTCGTAGATTTTTATGGGAGATGAATTAGCAAAGTAACTGTTAGATCTGAAAATAGACACATTACACTTATCATGAATCGTTGTTTACAGGCAATTATAATGTTGCATTCTTCTCCATTTCTTCTTCCTATTCCTATTATAATTATTATCATTATTTCTTCTTTTTTCTTCTTCTTCTTCTTCTTCGTCTTCTTCTTCTTCTACTACTTCTTCTTCTTTTTCTTCTTCTTGTTTTTGTTGTTGTTCTTCTTCTTCTTCTTGTTTTTTTTTTCTTCTTCTTCTTGTTCTTCTTGTTTTTGTTCTTGTTCTTGTTCTTCTTGTTCTTCTTGTTCTTCTTGTTCTTCTTGTTCTTCTTGTTCTTCTTCTTCTTCTTCTTCTTCTACTTCTTCTTCTTCTTCTTCTTCTTCTTCTTCTTCTTCTTCTTCTTCTTCTTCTTTTTCTTCTTCTTCTTCTTTTTCTTTTTGTTTTTTTCTTCTTCTTCTTCTTCTTCTTCTTGTTCTTCTTCTTCTTCTTCTTCTTCTTCTTCTTTTGTTTTGTTGTTGTTGTTGTTCTTCTTGTTCTTGTTTTTCTTCTTCTTCTTCTTCTTCTTCTTCTTCTTCTTCTTCTTCTTCTTCTTCTTCTTCTTCTTCTTCTTCTTTTTCTTCTTCTTCTTCTTCTTCTTCTTCTTCTTCTTCTTCTTCTTCTTTTTCTTCTTCTTCTTCTTCTACTTCTTCTTCTTATTCTTATTCTTATTCTTCTGCCTCTTCTGCTTCTTTTACTTATTCTTCTTCTTCGAAAAAAATACCCCCATCTCAGTGGCAATAGGTTTCTCGAAATTGTCTCGAGTCTGCGGCTCATAACACAAACCATGTTTATTGCAGCCATAAAGCCATCTTACCGTATCTGGTTGACGGAGCTATATACCATTATTTCAGTTAGGGAAACAGGCAATGGTTGGCTGCAACCAGAAGCAAACAGTTTCACACAACTAAACATAGTAGGCTTGTCTTTCTACCACATGAGATCAGAACGCCACAAACACACACACACACACACACACACCACGATTTTCGAATACTTTATATGGTTACTGTTATTTCATCATCATGTTTCCCTACTTCATTTATATAGGCTATGGTTTGTCTTCCTCCTCGATCACAAGTTAGGAATCAGATCATGATCGCTGCACACAACATATGTGATGAAACCATCCCTGTACATTAATGATCGCTGCACACAACACATGTGATGAAACCATCCCTGTACATTAATGATCGTTTCACACCAATACATGTGATGAAACCATCCCTGTACATTAATGACAGTTTGACATTAACATATGTGATGAAACCTTCCCTGTACATCAATGATCGTTTCACACCAACACATGTGATGAAACCATCACTGTAAATTAATGATTGTTTCACACAAACACATGTGATGAAACCATCCCTGTATATCAATCACAGTTTTACACCAACACATGTGACGAAACCATCCCTGTACATTAATGATCGTTTCACATCAACACATGTGATGAAACCATGCATGTACATTATCTTTTTTGTTTTCCCTCTGCTTTTTTCCCCTTGCCAGATTAAAGTTATCGAATCTTTTTTTTTTTTTTTTTTGCTGTACATCAAAAACATATTGATTGTGTACCTCTAATGACTCATAAATTATCGTCTGTGTTTAAATACCCTAAAATTACTGTCTAGGTTTAATTATTTCAAAATTACTGTCTACGTCTAATTATTAAAATTACTGTCTATGTCTGATTATTATTAAATTACTGTCTAGTCTTAAAATTCTACAATTTTGGCCTATGTCTTATTCCTTTCAAAGTATTTTCTACGTCAAATTACTGAAAAAATAATGTCTATGTCAAAAAAATTTTAAAATGTCTATCTACGTCAAATTACTCGAAAATTATTGTCTACGTCAAATTACTCAAAAAATAATGTCTACGTCAAATTACTCAATTACTGTCTACGTTGGTTAAAATGTCAGCTGTATATCCTTCACATGATTTTGAAGAATCGAGCCCAATATTTTTTTTTTTTTTTTTTTTTGATGAGCTGTTGTGGTTTTGCTAGGTTCATTTGTGTTCAGTAGTTTGCCGTTGCCTCTGAGCGGTAGACTCCCGGTACTACTGTCGAAACCAACGCAAGACGGTCTTTGCCAAAACGCCGGCAGCTGGGATTGAGCCCATTCATCTGGCATTTCGAAGCGTTTGCAGCGCCCAAGCCAGAGACGCCGACATGTTGATTATATAGATAACAAAACCGGCAAAAGAATATATACTTATCTATGTACCTCCTCTCGCAAATATAGTGAAATTTGGAAGTACAATTTTCATTCTTCCACTTGTACCCCAATTGTCCTTGTAAGGAAATGCAACGTAGCTCGCCTGGAACATAACAGTAGATAATGGATTACTGATTCAAAACAGCGAAACGACTTACTGGTTTACAAACTGGGGGAACATCATGACCTCACACAACAGTAGGCAGGAAAAGAGGAGAAGAACGTAAAGCACAAGGTAGAACCAGAACAAGATGGAAAGATAACATTAGGAAATTTCTACAACAGTAAGATGTGTCTCTGCTCGTGGCTGTCAGAAAGGCAAGAAAGAAAATCTACATCTTTCTCGACATCTGAAGGGAGAAAAGAAAAAGCGCAAAAGAATATTGATTCATATTTAGCATCAGACAACACTCCTGGTGATTTGAATTAAGATGAATGGACGATTCGGCCAGATGTATGGACGATACAGCCAGATGAATGGATGATTCGGCCAAATGAATGGACGATACAACCAGATGTATGGACGATACAGCCAGATGTTTTGACGATACAGCTAGCTTAATGGAAGATAAAGCCAGATAAAAAGACGATACAGTCAAATGTAAGGACGATTCGGCCAGATGAATGGACGATACAGCTAGATGAATGGACGACACCGCATAATAAATGCACGCCGCAGCCAGATGAATACGCGATACAGCCAGATAAATGGACAATACAGCCAGATGAATGGACGATACAGCTAGCTTAATGGACGATACAGACAGATGAATGGACGGCACAACCAGATAAATAGACGATACAGTCAGATAAATAGACGATAAAGTCAGATGACTGAACGAAACAGAAAGATGGCTGAACGATACGGCCAGATGAATGGACGATACAGCCAGATGAATTGACGATTCAACCAGATGAATGGACGATACAGCTAGATGAATGGACGACACAGCAACATTAATGAACGCCGCAGCCAGATGAATGGACGATACAGCCAGATGAATGGACAGTACAGCCAGATGTATGGACGATACAGCTAGCCTAATGTGCGATACAACCAGATGAATGGACGACACAGCCAGATGGATAGACGATACAGTCAGATCAGTGGACGATAAAGCCAGATGACTAAACGATACAGCTAGATAAATTGACGATACAGCCAGATGAATGGACGATACAGCCAGATGAATAGACGATACAGCCAGATAAATGGACGATCCAGCCAGATGAATGGACGATACAGCCAGATGTATGGACGATACAGCCAGATGTATGGACGATACAGACAGATGAATAGACCATACAGACAGATGAATAGACGATACAGGTAGCTTAATGGACGATACAGCCACATGAATTGGCGATAAAGCCAGATGAATAGACCCCACAGCCAGATGTATGGACGTTACAGACAGATGAATGGACGATACAGGTAGCTTAATGGACGATACAGCCAGATAAAGGGGCGATACAGCCAGATGAATGGACGATACAGCTAAATGAATGGACGATTCAGCCAAATTAATGGACGCCGCAACCAGATGAATGGACGATACAGACAGATAAATAGACGATACAGTCAGATAAATATACGATAAAGTCAGATGACTGAACGAAACAGCCAGATGGCTGAACGATACGGCCAGATGAATGGACGATACAGCCAGATGAATTGACGATTCAACCAGATGAATGGACGATACAGCTAGATGAATGGACGACACAGCAACATTAATGAACGCCGCAGCCAGATGAATGGACGATACAGCCAGATGAATGGACAGTATAGCCAGATGTATGGACGATACAGCTAGCCTAATGTGCGATACAACCAGATGAATGGACGACACAGCCAGATGGATAGACGATACAGTCAGATCAGTGGACGATAAAGCCAGATGACTAAACGATACAGCTAGATAAATTGACGATACAGCCAGATAAATGGACGATACAGCTAGATGAATGGACGATACAGCTAGCCTTATTAAAGATACAGCCAGATGAATGGACGATACAGCCAGATGAATGGACGACACAGCCATATGAAAAGACGATACAGTCAGATAAAAGGACGATAGTCAGATGACTGAACGATATAGCCAGATGACTGAACGATACGGCCAGATGAATGGACGATACAGCCAGATGAATAGACGATTCAACCAGATGATTGGACGATACAACCAGATGAATGGACGATACAAGTAGCCTAATGGACGATACAGCCAGATGAATGGACGATACAAGTAGCCTAATGGACGATACAGCCAGATGAATGGACGATCCAGCCAGATGAATGGACGATCCAGCCAGATGAATGGACGATACAGCCAGATGAATGGACGATACAGTAAGATGAATAGACGATCCAGCCAGATGAATGGACGATACAGACAGATAAATGGACGATATATGTAGCTTAATGGACGATACAGCCAGATGAATGGACGATACAGCCAGATGAATGAACGATCCAGCCAGATAAATGGACGATACAGCCAGATGAATGGACGATACAGCCAGATGAATGGACGATCCAGCCAGATGAATGGACGATCAAGCCAGATGATTTGACGATACAGCCAGATAAATGGACGATACAGCCAGATAAATGGACGATACAGCCGGATAAATGGACGATACAGCCAGATAAATGGACGATACAGCCAGATAAATGGGCGATACAGCCAGATGAATGGACGATTCAATCAGATGAATGGACGACACAGCCAGATGAATGGACGACACAGCCAGATGAATGGACGATTCAATCAGATGAATGGACGACACAGCCAATTAATGGACGTCGCAACCACATGAATGGACGATACAGCCAGATAAATGGACAATACAGCCATATGTATGTACGATATAGCTAGCTTAATGGACGATACAGCCAAATGAATGGACGACACAGCAAGATGAATAGACCTTACAGTCAGATAAATGGACGATAAAGTCAGATGACTGAACGATACAGCCAGATGAATTGACGATACAGCCAGATGAATGGACGATTCAATCAGATGAATGGACGACACAGCCAAATTAATGGACGTCGCAACCAGATGAATGGACGATACAGCCAGATGAATAGACCATACAGTAAAAAAAAAATGGACGATAAAGTCAGATGACTGAACGATACAGCCAGATGAATTGACGATACAGCCAGATTTATGGACGATACAGCCAGATGAATGGACGATTCAATCAGATGAATGGACGACACAGCCAAATTAATGGACGTCGCAACCACATGAATGGACGATACAGCCAGATAAATGGACAATACAGCCATATGTATGTACGATATAGCTAGCTTAATGGACGATACAGCCAGATGAATGGACGACACAGCCAGATGAATAGACGATACAGTCAGATAAATGGACGATAAAGTCAGATGACTGAACGATACAGCCAGATGAATGGACGATACAGCCATATAAATGGACGATACAGCCAGATGAATGAACGATTCAACCAGATGAATGGACGACACAGCCAAATTAATGGACGTCGCAACCACATGAATGGACGATACAGCCAGATAAATGGACAATACAGCCATATGTATGTACGATATAGCTAGCTTAATGGACGATACAGCCAGATAAATGGACGACACAGCCAGATGAATAGACGATAAAGTCAGATGAATGGACGATAAAGACAGATGACTGAACGAAACAGCCAGATGAATGGACAATACAGCCAGCCTAATGGACGGTACAGCCAGATGAATGGACGACAGAGCCAGATAAACAGACGATACAGTCAGATGAATTGACGAAACAGTCAAATTATTGGACGCAGCAGCCAGATGAATGGACGATACAGCCAGATGAATGGACGATACAGCCATATGACTGAACGATACAGCCAGATGAATGGACGACACCGCCAGATGAATGGACGATTCAATCAGATGAATGGACGATTCAATCAGATGAATAGACGATTCAATAAGATGAATGGACGATTCAACCAGATGAATGGACGATTCAATCAGATGAATGGACGATTCAACCAGATGAATGGACGATACAGCCAGATGAATGGACGATTCAATCAGATGAATGGACGATTCAACCAGATGAATGGACGATTCAACCAGATTAATTGACGACACAGCTACATTAATGGACGCCGCAGCCAGATGAAAGGACGAAACAGCCAGATGAATGGACGATACAGCCTGATGTATGTACGATACAGCTAGCCTAATAGACGATACAGCCAGATGAATGGACGACACAGCCAGATGAATAGACGATACAGTCAGATGAATGGACGATAAAGCCAGATGACTGAACGATACAGCCAGATGAATGAACGATACAGCTAGATGAATGGACGATAAATCCAGATAAATGGACGATACAGCCAGATAAATGGACGATACAGCTAGAAGAATGGACGATACAGCTAAATGAATGGACGAAACAGCCAGATAAATGGTTGATACAGCCAGATGAATGGACGATACAGGCAGATGAATGAACGATACTGTCAAAAGAATGGACGATACAGCTAGCTTAATGGACGATACAGCCAGATGAATGGACGATACAGCTAAATGAATGGACGGTACAGCCAGATGAATAGACGACAGAGCCAGATGAATAGACGATACAGTCAGATGAATTGACACAGCCAAATTATTGGACGCTGCAGCCAGATGAATAGACGATACAACCAGATGAACGGACGATACAGCCAGATGTATGTACGATACAGCTAGCCTAATGGTCGATACAGCCAGATGAATGGACGACACAGCCAGTTGAATAGACGATACAGTCATATAAATGGACGATAAAGTCAGATGACAGAACGATACAGCCAGATGAATGGACGATACAGCCAGATGAATGGACGATACAGCCAGATAAATAGACGATACAGCCAGATGAATGGACGATACTGTCAAAAGAATGGACGATACAGCTAGCTTAATGGACGATACAGCCAGATTAATGGACGATACAGTAAAATTACTGGACGAAACAGTCAGATGAATGGACTATCAGCTAGATGAATGGACGATACAGCTAAATGAATGGATGACACAGCCAGATGAATGAACGATACAGCCAGATGAATGAACGATGAAGCCAGATCAGTGAACGATACAACCAAATGAAGGACGATACAGCTAGTTTAATGGACGATACAGCCAAATGAATGGACGATACAGATAAATTACTGGACGAAACATTCAGATTAATTAACAATACAGCCAGTTGATCAAACGATACAGCCAAATGAACGGACGATACAGTCAGATGAATTAACCATACAACCACATTAAAGGGTTATAAACACAGATTAAAGGACGATAAAGCTAGAATCGTTCAACCAAGTGCTGATGAATAGACAGCAAACCTAGTAAGATAAATTCAAACCAAACTGAACAATCTGCTTTGCATATTATAATACAGCCTGTTAAAACCACGATAGAAAACATCGACAAACAACACAGAATCATATAATGAATCAATCAAATTGTCTTTTGCAGGGTGACATTTTGATGTCATGTGAATATTATTTATCCGAATATGTTCACTAAGTGCATGTCCCTAAATAAAAGGACCGGGTCTTACATAAACTTTTACTTTACAAAGACACTAGGGCTTTTTTTAAGGAATAATTTATTTTTTTTCGGGATATAAAAATGTACATTTATTCAAGGTACAGTAATCTACAATTATTCATGTGCAAAATTATACATTTATTAAAATATAATTATCCTTTCTTCTTTTGGAAATTTGCCAAAGCTCTCCACTGAATGGCTTTCGGCAACAACGCACTTGTTCCTAGTGACGATATTAACTGTGTGATATGTTTGTGATGAGACTTACATTAAAAGCATTATAGAAATCGTGTGGGGTTTACTTCGATGGTAGGTTTTACTTTTCCCAGGAAACACAGAAGTACAGCTTGGAAAACATCAAATTATTAGAACACCGGAAGAACTTTCAAAAAACCATTTATTAACGAACTGAAAATACTATATTAGGGGAAACAAAACCTGCTAGGTTGCATGAATGTGTATTTATCTGTGGATCAGGCGAAGATAAACGAAGTTACAGATAAAATGAACGACCTGTATGCAACCAGTGTGCTACTGGAACTGTCAGCACGTATACATTCATGTATTTGCTGCGGGAGACTGAGCATCTATAAATATTTCCGGTGTGATGTCTGTACTGAAATCAGTAAACAGCAACATGAAGAAACAGCAACACAATGAAGCAGCACATGAGTAAACAGCAATATTAGGAAACAGCAACATAATGAAGCAGCAACATGATGAAACAGCAACATGATAAAACAGCAACATAATGAAGAAGCAACATAAGGAAACAGCAGCATGAAGAAACATCAACATAATGAAGCAGCAACCTGAGGAAACAGCAACTATTTGAAACAGCAACATGATAAAACAGCAACATAATGAAGCAGCAAAATAAGGAAACAGCAACATGATGAAACAGCAACATAGTGAAGCAGCAACATGAGGAAACAGCAACATGAGGAAACAGCAACATGAAGAAACATCATCACGAAGAAACAGCATCATGAAGAAACAGCATCATGAAGAAACAGCATCATGAGAAAACAGCATCATAAAGACACTGCATCATGAAGAAATAGCAACATGAGGAAACAGCATCATGAAGAAACAGCATCATAAAGACAGTGCATCATGAAAAAATAGCAACATGAGGAAACAGCATCATGAAGAAACAGCAGCATGGAGAAACAGCAACATGAGGAAACACCAACATGAGGAAACAACATTATGAAGAAACAGCATCATAAGGAAACAGCAACATGAGGACACAGCGGTAAACAGGCCACACTACAGGCACTCACCGGACTTTGGTTGTCCTGGGGCCCAGCGTGGATCTCTTATATACTCAAAGCCTGGCATCCATTCAAAACTCTTGTATCCTGCCTTAAAGCCTCCGATCCAAACACTTGCGACTGTACAAAAATCACATTGGAGTCAGTATTCCAATTTCCCTTTCTTCATACACTCTATGCTATTAAAGGGTAGAACATCTCTCTGTCCAAAAACTTCGATCTTTCATACTGTCTCAATTTTAAGACTGTCGGCTCAGCTATGTGCACGTGTGGATTGGCACATAGGAGAATTATCACGATCTCAAAGACCGTTCCAAACCTCTAGCCAAGAGAAACACCGGTCGAAGCCAAACTTTACGGGTCGCTGGGTGAATTACAAAAGACAGTAAAGCACACACTAAAGATAACATTGCAATTATCTATAATCTATTTCAAGCGAACAAAGGAAAAAGAAGAAAAATTATACTGTCAAACAAGAAGATATACAGAGATAAGCTGGATCCGAAGACAGTCGCTGGAGTCTCTGAGGCAGTCGGGGTTGACGCCTATGTTTCATATTTGTGCCAGGATATACATGCGTGCAAGGAAATGAGCAAGCTGATTACTGGCCGGCAAATCTACAGTGGCAGGCAGGTGGATTATTGACTAGAATCTTGTGCTGAATCTTCTACGAGACGTGAGACGTTTGCCAGATCAAACATTTTTGAAACAGTATGTTCTTCCGATCCGAACCGTCCATCTTGCTTCTGTCTCTTTCAGCCTGCGTCATTCTTGTTGTCACGACGTAATCCGGTCTCCTCCATATTTTCACGTGACCAAGGAATGTTGATAGTCCATTTTATGATGTGGGTAAACAGCTCTTTAGAAAGTTGACTCATAGCAGCCCCTGTCGTTGGCATAAAGAATTGTAAACTTTAACGAGAAGGCCTGTACATGAATCAACCACAGTTGATATGAGCCAAATGTATGTAACCAGGAGCTAAATGTATGTAACCAAGAGCTAAATAGATGCAACCAGGAGCCAAATGGATGTAACCAAAAGCTAAATGGATGTAACTAGGAGCCAAATGGATGTAACCAGGAGCTAAATGGATGTACCCAAGAGCCAAATGTATGTAACCAGGAGCCAAATCCAAATACTCTGTCATGAGCAAACGTTAACAATGATGACGTCATGGAACGTCCTGCACTCCGCTAAACGCAGTTTAGTGAGTACATGGATTTTGCGGTCCTCCTCCTTTTCCTGCTTCTTCTTACTGGTCCTTTTCCTCCTCCTCCTGCTGCTTCTTCTTTTTATTCAACCTCATCTTTTCTTCTTCTTCTTCTTATTCTTCTCCTTCTTCTTCTTCTTCTTCTTCTTCTTCTTCTTCTTCTTCTTCTTCTTCTTCTTCTCCTTCTTCTTCTTCTTCTTCTTCTTCTTCTTCTTCTTCTTCTTCTTCTTCTTCTTTTTCTTCTTCTTCTTCTTTTTCTTCTTTTTCTTTTTCTTCTTCTTCTTCTTCTTCTTTTTTTTCTTCTTCTTCTTCTTCTTCTTCTTCTTCTTCTTCTTCTTCTTCTTCTTCTTCTTCTTCTTCTTCTTCTTCTTCTTCTTCTTCTTCTTCTTCTTCTTCTTCTTCTTCTTCTTCTTCTTCTTCTTCTTCTTCTCTTCTTCTTCTTCTTCTTCTTCTTCTTCTTCTTCTTCTTCTTCTTCTTCTTCTTCTTCTTCTTCTTCTTCTTCTTCTTCTTCTTCTTCTTCTTCTTCTTCTTCTTCTTCTTCTTCTTCTTCTTCTTCTTCTTCTTCTTCTTCTTCTTCTTTTTCTTCTTCTTCTTCTTCTTCTTCTTCTTCTTCTTCTTCGTCTCTTTCTCTTCTTCTTGACTCTCGTTTTTTCTCCTTACTCCTCCCCTTCTTCTTCACCTCCTCTTTTATTTTTCTTTTTCTTTTTTCTTCTTTTTCTTCTTCTTCTTCTCCCTCCTGCTCTTCTTCTTCTTTCTTTTTCTTGTTTAGGTTTTATTTACAGATATCACCTCCCCCCCCCTCCCCCTACAATCGATCATTTTGTTTTCGATTTGTCATTCAATTATTATATAGGTTACGAATACACCAGTAGACATGCATAGCATCTCTAAGGTTGTCATCACACTGTAGACACAGAAATAGGAGAACTAATAGATCAGCATTCAGACCTAGAAGATATCATCATCTACACAGATGGATCCGTGAAGCGCGGATCAAGGTCAGCATGGGCATATACAGTGCAAAGAAGGGGGAAAACAATACATGAGGACAGCGGAGCTTACCAGACAACCACGTCAAGCATGACTATGGAAATATCTGCTGCTTCTAGAGCTTTAGCATGGGTATCTTAGCAAACCGCCATACAGGTAGTAATTGTCTCAGACTCAATGAATATGCTTCAGAAAATAGCAACTGGCAGTATGCGCTCTGAATGGATAGAAAGCATTCGAAAATCGCACTTAACCTCCGTAATCTGAATGTACATACCGGGTCATGCGGGCTTAAAGAGAAATGAGCGAGCGGACCAACTGGCAAGCACTGCACTAATGATTGCGGGAAAAAGCATGGACAGAGCAGATATCGTCAACGCTCTACGGACTGGGCTAGTGGATAATGACGAATCCTTGACACTTACATGATTGCGTCGCTTGGGGCGACGCTTGCTGGTGGATGTAATGTCATAAGCCCTTTCCCCAGCTAATAGTGAGGTTACTGCTGAGGTGACCATTTTTTAACCCTCTAAAAAATGCTTCAGGTCACAATGGACGCTAGGCACGGCCACATTTTTTTTGCCGTGGCAAATGTTTTTTTTTTCCTTTGCCAGACGGGGGCCGTTGCATTTTTGCTCCATTTGTAGACTGGAAGGATAAAGTTTAGTTGCCCAGCTTCTGAGTTGAGTGCATGGCGTAACACTGTGAGCTGAAGATTTCATTTGAACTGTGATAAACATTTTATGTGTTTTTCGTTGGCACAGTAGCGGAGCAACTATAGGGCAACCCGTTTGCTATGAAGCTGAAACTAAGATTACCAGATTATCAGATTACAGGAATATCAGAAGTATAAATCAGGTTTACAGAGCTATATCGTTTATGTTATAGCTGAAGCAGCTGCTATCTTCATCACTATGATCACTATCATGATTCCTACAATGTTTCCTAATGGCTAACTTTAAATGTTTGCTAATGCTAACTACAGACTTGTGATCTTCTAGTCCAGTTCAGTTATGTAAACTGGGACATGGTACAGATTCACTATGATCACTATCATGATTCCTACAATGTTTCCTAATGGCTAACTTTAAATGTTTGCTAATGCTAACTACAGACTTGTGATCTTCTAGTCCAGTTCAGTTATGTAAACTGGGACATGGTACAGATTCGAACTGAAACTCTTCGGACCAGCAATCAAGTGTCTAGCCAGTGGCCTACTATAACCAATAAGAATGCATATACTTTATATCGGAGCAAAACTGACCTTTGTGCGCTTTCATGTGTCCAACAATCCAAGTATGTTTGTCTGGGTCATCTTCATCATTATCATGGTAGATCCATCCGCCGTATTTTGTACAGATCGCCTGATAATATAGGGGGGGGGGGCGAGGGGGGGGGGGCACACAAGAATTATAACATTTTTTATCTGGCACATTACTGTACATCGTATTATGTGCATGCAACAGTAACATTTCAATTAGGAGACAAAAAGAGACAACCAGTCGTGGGCTATTTGAGTATGCAGGAGTGCAACAAACATATCCACCTGTATCGTATGTTTTTAGTGAAACGGGCATTGGGGCGAACGTGCGTTTGCTTTGGTTAACTGGCATTCACATGTGGGTGTGATGAATTTTGTATTTCAAATGTCGTTCTTCTTCTTCTCGTTCTTCCGCTGTAAACTCCGTTGAATCTGTTTTTGCTGTTTGTCTTGATCCAGAACTTTAGTTTAGCCCACCAACAGTTTTATAGAATTTGCTTATTTGGGCTCTCCTGTCAACTACGGCCGGTAGACAACAGTAGACGGCCGTTAGTCGGAGTTCTGTCTCCTGGCTGCAGTGCTATTACGGAGTGGAAAAGAGGGAACGAAACAAATGACATAATTACTGTGTGTTGGCGATAGACAGCGTGCAGTTACCTGCTGTTATCATACGGTTAGGGTTTGGGTTAGGGTTAGGGTAAGGGTTTAGGTTAAGTTTAGGGTTAGGCTTAGTGTTAGAGTTTGGGTTAACGTTACGCTTAGTGTGCCGCATCTCGTCTTCGCAGAAACTCAACGTAGCAACCCAAACCATAACCCCAACCCTAAACCTAACCCAAACCCTACCCCTAACCCAAACCGTATCATGACAGTAGGGCACTGCACGCTGTCTATCGCAAACACACAGTAATTATGTCACTTGTGTCGTTGCCTCTTGTCCACTCCTTAATGCGTCGCAAGAACGCGATCGCTAGTTTGAGTCGCAGCGCGGGGTCTGCCAGGTAGGTCGACCTCACTTTGTTTTGTTATTTGTGCCTTGTCCGGTCCGTAATAGCATTGCAGCCAGGGGACAGAACTCGGACTAACCGGCCGTCTACTGTTGTCAACCGGCCGTAGTTGAAAGGAGAGCCCTTATTTGTATTCAGACCGTTGGTTCTTCGTCTCTCAGGTGGATGCTCTCTAACATCGAAGGAAACACCTATGTATTGGGGTTGGGGTGGCTATGTCGTAACACCCGCCTCTCTCTTACACACACATATATACACACACACACACACACACAATGGAGCCTTGGAATGCACATGAGGTCTCGGTAGACAATTGTTCCTTCTGTGCCCACGTGACAACAGTGACATTTGAATACCAGCTTTATAAAGCATGCGGCGTCCCTGGCTAAGGCGTTGCAAGTTCGACTCGTAATCCAACATACCGCGATCGAAACCCACTGCGGGCTGCGTGGATTTTTATTGTGGTATGGGACGTCACAGGTCGACCCAACCTCAAATTGGTACCAGGATGGTCTGTCCTGGGAAGACGGCCGGTGTAATGCTGACCATCACCGAGTGCCGATTGATCTGTAAAAATATGGGTGCTCTTCCCATGCCCGATGTGCCTAAAGGCGTGTAAAGGGATCCTTTACTTTTTTTTTTAACTTTTCATAAAGCATCCTGAGCCATCACAATCATGTTCCTTACCACTATTGTAAACGATCACGCATCTCTACATCTTATTTTCTCTCTCTCTCTCTTTATCTCTCTCTTTCTCTCTCTCTCTCTCACTCTCTCTCTCTCTCTCTCTCTCTCTCTCTCTCTCTCTCTCTCTCTCTCTCTCTCTCTCTCTCTAACAGCACGCAGAAGTTTATCCTTGATACCGTTCCATTCTTTGACAAATTGTTGTCAGAAACATTCTTTCTTTCTCTTCCTCTATCTTCCTATAAATCTTTCAAGCTGTCACAAAGGACTCAGGATGATAGTAGGCACAGTACTAGTGAAATATTTCTTTGAACAAAATACAATGTGGTCATCTAGTCAGATTGGAACAATATTAGCCAGCAGCTACAACGTACTACATGAGAACATGAAGCTAGAAGTCAAGAGACCGGCTAAGAAAAAGATGGGTAAGAGGAGTAAAAGAGACTCTACAGAAATTCAATGTGACTTTAAAAAAAGATACGCAAGTAGCAAAAGACAAGAAAATATACCCAACTCCGCACAGCAAAGGACAAAGGAAGAGAGCAAATAATGAACCGTCTACAAGTGCAGGACAATTCTACGTGAATACCTTCAACAAAATAAATTTGAAATAAGACTCTAGGATCGACAGGTACCTTTTTCCACGTGTTGGTGGGCATAAATAGGACAAGCAAAAAAAATGCATTTTATTAAATAAGGAACATCTTATGCAATGTATGTCTGTCTTCCAAAGTTAAAAAAAGAATTCGTGCTTGCTACATACATCCAGTTTTAACATATGGCTGTGAGTCCTGGATAATCGGTAGGCAGGTCAAACAATTTCTTGGGGCCTCATAGATGTGATTTAACAGAAGAATGCTTAAAATACATTGGACAGCCAAAAATAACAACCAAGAGGCTTTGAAACAGGAAGGAAGCCCAAAGATAACTTATCAAAGACATAAGAAGCATACTTTCATCATTTTTTGGCCATGTTTTGAGAAGAATAAAAATGGAACATGTTGTGGCCATTGGAAAGATCTGTGGAAGGAGGGGTAGAGGAAGACAACGAAAGGAGATTCTTGACAGTCTTGTTGCATGACATAGAGGTGTGTCAGCATACGAGCTGATACATGCTGCAGGAGATCGCAGATTGTGTGGAGAAATGATCGTCCAAGCCAGTCGGCAAGGCACCTGATGATGATGATCTAGGCAGCCCGCGTGTTTAGGCAGCACCCTGTTTCTTAAATGATAACTGTAGGAAGAAAAAAAAATTTCCTAAAATTTCGTCCACAGACAAAAACCGGTATAGGTCTCATACAGCTGGCAGTCATGTCTGTTGTGCCAGTATGGGTCTCATGCAGCCGGCAGTCGTGTCTTTTGTGCCGGTATGGGTCTCATACAGCTGGCAGTCATGTCTGTTGTGCAGGTATAGGTCTCATACAGCTGGCAGTCGTGTCTGTTGTGCCGGTATAGGTCTCATGCAGCTGGCAGTCATGTCTGTTGTGCCGGTATGGGTCTCATGCAGCCGGCAGTCATGTCTGTTGTGCCGGTATGGGTCTCATGCAGCCGGCAGCCATGTCTTTTGTGCCGGTATAGGTCTCATAAGCCGGCAGTCATGTCTGTTGTGCCGGTATAGGTCTCATACAGCCGGAAGTCATTTCTGTTGTGCCTATACAGGTCTCATTCAGTCAGCAGTCATGTCTGTTGTGCCGGTATAGGTCTCATACAGCTGGCAGTCATGTCTGTTGTGCCGGTATGGGTCTCATACAGCTGGCAGTCATGTCTGTTGTGCCGGTATGGGTCTCATACAGCTGGCAGTCATGTTTGTTGTGCCGGTATATGTCTCATACAGCTGGCAGTCATGTCTGTTGTGCTGGTATAGGTCTCATACAGCTGGCAGTCATGTCTGTTGTGCCGGTATAGGTCTCATACAGCTGGCAGTCATGTCTGTTGTGCCGGTATGGGTCTCATACAGCCGGCAGTCATGTTTGTTGTGCCGGTATGGGTCTCATACAGCCGACAGTCGTGTATGTTGTGCCGGTATATGTCTCATACAGCTGGCAGTCATGTCTGTTGTGCCGGTATAGGTCATACAGCTGGCAATCATGTGTGTTGTGCCGGTATAGGTCTCATACAGCCGGCAGTCATGTGTGTTGTGCCGGTATTGGTCTCATACAGCTGGCAGTCATGTCTGTTGTGCCGGTATAGGCCTCATACAGCTGGCAGTCATGTCTGTTATGCTGTTGTAAGTCTCATACAGCTGGCATTCATGTCTGTTGTGCTGTTATAGGTCTCATACAGCCGACATGTTTAATGTTCTGTTCTATTTTGTGCAATGTTCTTGAAATCATTGATAAAATCCAGTCTAGCGCCTTTGGCTTCTCTCAACTAGGCTCGTCTTAGTGTTTCTATTGCAGTCCTCGTTTTCTCAGTATATTAAGGTGATTCTTTGTGTCTGACTTAATGATATTCCAAACTTACTGCCATCTTTTTTATGTGTATTTTATGTATGTATTTTTTAATTTTTTTTCGGATACAGTTAATAATCCTTTGTTTACTTATGTATCATAACTGATGGTACACGCTATTATTTAGAATGTTGTTCTAATTTTTCCTTTTCTGAACATATCGTCTCAAATGTTCAACAATTTGTTTGGCAATTAAAATAAAATAAGAACATCGAGAACAATCGAATTCTACGTACCAATGCCTGATGCCAAGGCCTTTCTACACCGCTGAAAACGACACATACATTATGGTACGGTAGCCAGCCATCGTTACAAAATGCCAGAACTGGGAAAATAAACGGTAAGTAAATGAAAAACTTCAGTCTTCCATTCAAGGAGGTTCCGTGGCAGAATGGTTAATACATTTGCCTTGCACTCTAAAGCGCCTGAGTTCGTTTGATTGTGGGTGGACGCTCTGGTAAATGCCAATGCAAGACTCTAGACGACTGGTCATTCATGATCCCATATGGGATACTATACGTATTCTTCCCTTATGGGATACTATACGTCTTCTTCCCTCTCTGTCTCTCTTGATCATCGGCCAATGTAACTATATGTACACTTCCCTCTCTGTCTCTCTTGTTCATCAATCAATGTAACTATACGTTTTCTGACTTCTCTGTCTCTCTTGCTCGATGTAACGTTCACTTCATGGTGTGGTGGGTATTGTCTTAGTTAGTTGCGTATCCTTTAGAGGACGTTGCAGAACTAACCCCAACAGCCCCTAGATGTTGTGTGGTTTTTCTAGGCAAATTTACGTCCAGTAGTTTGCCATTGCTCCCTGGACGGTCGGCTTTCTCTATACCACTGTTGAAACCAACACAAGGCGCACGGCCCACAGCAGGGATTGGACCTGGCATCCCAGCATTACGAAGCGTTCGCGTCGACTTAACCACAGAGCCGACAGATATTGTGTACCGGTGTCAATTCTTAGTTACATAATACAGCCTGTGTTCGTTTGGAAATCAGGTTTTAGAGACCAGTGACGTGAGTTATCCAAGTGGACAGAAATCGCATGTGGACAGGTCAGGCAATCAAGAAGGCCAAAAAACGAAACCAAATCTTGAGATGAAACAGTTGGGAAATTGGAACAACTGTCGATTCTCTGGCAATATGTGTCGTGGCTCCTATTTCAGTGAAACCACAAATATTTTGATGATGAATGCCTCGTTGTAACTGATGAAAAAGGTGTTCACTATCTTTTTGTAGCACTCTGATATTACAGAAATGGAAACTCAATTCTGTTGGACAAAAATAGGGAACAATTTCTCCTTTCGCAGGTCAAATTGTTACCTTATTGCTACTCAGCGGTTTTTGTGTGTTCTTGTTGCCGATTTTGAACAGATCGGTAGTCATGGTTTTGTCTGTTGACAACCTCAGCTACATGCAGTGAGCCAGTGAATGGAAGATTACCGGCCGCACGAGCCTCCCTTTTCTGATGTCCGAATTCTAGTCCTTTGATAAATCATTTGGCTATCACCACGCCCTAGCATGTATCATGCCCCTAGTATATCATTGATGTATACGTTTAATGTTTAATTAGGATTAGACAATGCAACACTGTAGACATTCACATGTGTCACGTCCCCGTCTTCGGCAGCAAGAACATAGTACCTATACTCATGGTGCCAGTAACAGTCTGATTGTATATCTATCTCACCTTTCCCATGAATATTGATATGATTGTTCCCGAGTCCTCCCACTTAAGTCAATGCTTTTTTCATAACTTTCTTTTCGCATACTTTAACGCCTTCATTGCCAGAAGGCCTTAGTGGTCGCTAAATAAATGGCACAAAGAAAGCAACAATGCCATCATACGGCTCAAAATGAATACACTTTTCAAAACTGCAAACACCAGTCATGTTAAAAAAGTGAGTTTTGAGCCACAGCGAGCATCGCATCCTATGTTTAAAGAACATACACGAATACAAATCATAGATAATACAAAGCAGAACATACCAGACTGTGGTGACGTCAGCGCCAAAAACAAAACCACTCTCAGCTGTGGAAGAGATAAATAATGTATCCTGTACTAGATTTAAAAACCTGGCTTCGCTCGGGATAATGAAAGAGGGTCTTATTCTTTCGTCCTCTGCTTCATCTTTCTCCTCACCACTGCATTATATGTAGGTCTAGTGGTAGTAGTAGTAGTACATTTTACCCCACTAGGACATCACACAAGCGATAAACACTCGATGACACAAAGTGCCACCATGCGGATGAGGATCACCCGTGGAGAGCTTCTGGAAACCGCGTTCAGCCATTAGGCCATATTTATGGCCGGGCTATATTGCAGCCCCTCTCAAGAGCCAGGATGGGGCTTTAAAAAAAAATTGCATCCCACAAGGGGATGACTATATGAGATAAAAGTGAATAATGTTTAATGGAAATAGAGGTCTAACTAAAACCCTATCTGTAATACTTGTCTTCTGCTTCATCTTTATCTCCACCTCTGCCGTATCTTTTGTCGCTGCTCCTAAGTGCACCAGAGGCATCCAATGTAATACTAACACCAGTTTTTAACAATTTGAGAAAAAGACCAATGTGTTTTCTCAGAAACAGATAGACAAGTGACTCCAAGGAAAATAACAGTGAAAGATAAATTACATTCTTATTGGAAGTAAAGGGTAAACTATTCAAAGGGATATAACTGAAGCAAAAATGTTTACTTTTTATGATTGTTACAGTAAAAATTAGGAGCCGCCATGGTCCAGCGGTCCACGCTCGGATGCGAATCGGAAGGTGTTAGGTTCGGTTCCTGACGAGGGTCTGATTTTATTCAAAAATGACACATCGGCTCCCAGGTCGACCCAGCCTTACGTATAGGCAGCCGGCGTGATGTTGACCACATCACCCATCAAGTGCTGTTTGGTAAATAAATAAAGGTCTGAAAGACGTGGGAAAAACTTGTTTACAATAAATAATGGAAATGAATTTAAAGCTGGCCGCCAATATTACTGGTAAGTTAAAGACTGTAGCCATAATGGCAGTTGAAAGTTTTACCCGTGTGATGGTCACGGCTTTTGAGGAATTAAAACGTCATTTAAAATAAAAACTCGAAATATGAAAGGGTTTGTGATCTATAGTATAGATATCAATAAAGGCTTTCTGAGCTTGAAGTATCCTAAGTGTCGTCCCCTTGTGGGATGCAATTTTTGTGTTATCCTGAAGCCATCCTGGCTGTTGCTAGGGACCCTTATTTAACGAGGTTTCCAGGACCTCGTCACGGGTGATGCTTATCCAAATCGTGGCACTTTGTGTCACTGGATGTTTATCACTCTGTGTAATGTCCTGGTGGGGTACAACTTACCTACTTACTTTAGGTATCTTCATCCTAAGCATTGCCCCCCCCCCCCTCTCCTGTCCAGAGTAACTAATTCCTGCCCAAAAACAGTGTTTGTAATCAGTTGTTTGACTGATCAGCATCTGTTTCTGTGTCAGCAACTAGCCATTTTCCTGTCATCATCATCATCAACTTCCGCTGTTGCCGTACAGCGGCGTGGGCAGAAATAGTTAGTGATCCATTGCTTGATCTACTTATCATCATCACCATCATCATCGTCCTGTTGTGCCATTATAGGGCTCGCAGTCTGTTCCTCGAATTAATTTTATCCTGTGCAGTGAATTCAATGTGATGGATGGAATCGGGTCCAGCAGCTTTAGCTTTTTTCATCGGCGTTTTTAGGGATTTTTTTTTTGGGGGGGGGGGGGGAGGGGGGGTTGGGGGCGTGTTCTTTTCCTCGTCTCCTTTACTTTCCTTTTTTTTTTCTATTCGTTTCTGTTTAGGATATTTTCATTATTGCGTTATCCGACTGTATGTTTAACATGTTCCTCATTTGTTTTGAAATGCACTCAACTTTCGTTTTATAACTTTGGTAGTTCTGCAACAACTTTAGTTCCATAACTTTGCTAGTTCTGCAACAAATTTCGTTCCATAACTTTGGTAGTTATGTAACTGTCACTAGCATAGGATAAAAATTAAATAATTGTGAAACATTGAAAATAGGTAACTTGGTATTAAGGCTGTATAATTTAGAATTGAGAATAATTAAACTAAATGATTTGTAGCTCCTATGATGTCTAGGCATTATTCACCTAGCTGGCACGTCCTATGATGTCTAGACATTATTCACTCAGCTGTCACGTCTCATGATGTCTAGACATTATTCACTCAGCTGCCACGTCTCATGATGTCTAGCCATTATTCACTCAGCTGCCACGTCTCATGATGTCTAGACATTATTCACTCAGCTGCCACGTCTTATGATGTCTAGACATTATTCACTCAGCTGTCACGTCTCATGATGTCTAGACATTATTCACTCAGCTGCCACGTCTTATGATGTCTAGACATTATTCACTCAGCTGCCAAGTCTCATGATGTCTAGACATTATTCACTCAGCTGCCACGTCTTATGATGTCTAGACATTATTCACTCAGCTGCCACGTCTTATGATGTCTAGACATTATTCACTCAGCTGCCAGGTCTTATGATGTCTAGACATTATCCACTCAGCTGCCACGTCTTATGATGTCTAGACATTATTCACTCAGCTGCCAAGTCTCATGATCTCTATACATTATTCACTCAGCTGCCAAGTCTCATGATCTCTAGACATTATTCACTCAGCTGCTGCGTTCATGCATTCTGTCCAGAGTAACAGTTGCACACTCTCTTTAATGTGCTTGATGTTCTTTTTTCTCAGCGCCGTCACACAAACTTTAAACGTTTATGAATATTTTAAAACGTCACAGGTTTAAATGAATGTAATAAAAGCTTTTTTGACATTATTAATTTAAAATTCTAGAAATTATTCTTGATGGTCCTTTATGATAAAAACTGGGCAAAGGTTAAAAAAAAAAAAGAATAAAAGAAGGACAATTAACCGCCTTAGAGAAAGGAGAAACAGCTTATTTGGAGCACTGAAAGATCTATACACCTCCTTCCCCCCCCCCCCCTCCCCTTTCAACATGGTAATAAAGCAACAAATAAGACATACCATTTTCAGTGAAGTCTCCTCTGTACTGATTCAGACTGACAGTTAAAGAGCAATAGAAGAGCAAGAAAAAGAATGCACAAGAATAAACGTCCTCCCTTATTAGGAAAAAAGAAACATACAAGTCTGGAGCAAATGGATACGTTTGAATACTTTGGATGATAACAAAAGTAAGTAGGTTTATTACAGAAGTGCAGTATAGAATAGCTCAAGAAAATGTAGTGTCTCATAACACAAAACACAGCCTGTTCAATCTATCTCTGCTTTCTTGAGATATATAAATATAAAACCGTTTAGGATGAACGAAAGAGAAACCTGCACAAGAAAACAGTTTTTTTTTTTTTTTAAACTGCAGGGATTTTATTTTTATAGACAAAAGGAATAAGGCGCCATGGATACAAAGAAATGATGGTAAATTACCTTGGAAGCAATTAACTCACATATCGGATTAAAAGCGCACAGAAAATCGATATAATTTGGCACATCCTCAAACGAGTGACACGAAATACGTTTTGAAAACCGGAAAGTTAAAGGAGTAGAGAGGCAAGGGGAAAACGATGGGTATGGCATGGAAGAAAAATCAGTATTTGAAACGAATACCAATTGATGTGACGGAAGGTGTCAGTCAACAACTGACTACTAACGCCACATAATATGAAACATAAGAAGATACTGAACGCCACTTTCTGCAAACGAAGAACACCATGATGATGATGGTTATGAAGAATATGATGATGATGATGATGATGAAAGTAATAATGAAGGTCATGATGATAATAATGGCGTTGTACCTAAAAGAATTGTGCGCTGCTTTGATGCTGTCAGCTACATAAGCAACAAATAAGACATACCATTTTCAGTGAAGTCTCCTTTGTACGGATTCAGACTGGCAGTTGACAGAGGGACAAGAGTCTTAATAACTTCTATCTTGTCTGTCTGCAGACCAACACGTCGCGTCTAACAGACTCTATGCCAGTTCTGTTTAAGTAATCAGTTTGTGTTAATCCGTCATCATCCACAAAGTAATGGATAGCTTATAGTCGCTGCTACTATTTTTCGAATAGTTGATTCTTGGTGTTTGCAGTAGTTAAGGACTTTTAATGTTTCAACACGTGCGTCAAATAAAGAATAAGCTAGTTTTGGCAATATTTATTTACTTATTGTAAGTATTTCTAATTGGTTGGTTATTTCAAGCTGCTGGGTGATGTGTTAGTTTAGAATCTAGCTTTTATGCAATTTTTTATTTTTTTTAATTACATGACATTCAGTGCGACATTCATATGTGGGTTCCGGGGCCCCATGGTGTTGGTTGAAAAAAATCGTAATTTACCGAACAGTTTGTGGAGACTGCAATAGCCATAACTCCTCATGCTCAAAAACCGGCAAAAGAATTCGTTCATGCTGTATAGAGACAGGTTTAGCATGTGGCTGGGAACCTAAACACTGATAGTTCTTTGTTGAGAGACACGACGAAGTGAATGGGACTGCATAGCAAAAGCGAGTACATGACCCTCAGGCAGCCAAGAATGGCATATGATATCAACACTTCTCGTTTGAGAATGGAGGCCGAGGCGGTCAGTGCGGTCTTCGGTTTGCTTGAGAATCAGCTGCATATAACACGTTGTGATTATTACCGATTCGCAGAATGTGCTCTCTCCACCTTTGGCAGTCAGTTGAGATGGACTTCGTGGTTGCATGCCTGAGGCTTGTCCAGTCAGTCAGGTTATTAAATCAGGTCTTTTTTGGTCTGCCTCTTTTGCTCTTTTCCTCTATTTAGCCTGCATTAGTGTTTTTGAGAAGCCGTTGGATCTTATTACATGTCCATATCATTGACACTGGAATCGACCCGGACGTTTTTTTTTTTTTTTTTTACATCGGTTCCCAACCTATCCAGGGTAAACTGGGGTCGAACGAACGAACGAACGAACGAACGAACGAACTTTATTTTCAAAGGGTTACAAATCGGGCACGCAGGCCGGTCTTACATTCGGCCCTTCCAAACACCCGTCTTTCACACTGCAGCTGTATTTTATCAATAAGCATGTAATATTTAAATGATAATATGCATATTATTAATATAAAAAAAAGAAGAAAAAAAGCACAATAGCATGGGTGGTAAAATGCATGCATACGCACACACACCCATACACTCACTTAAACACACCCACATACCTTCACACACTCATAAACACACCCCATTCACCCAGGTACAAAGCTACATACCCACACAGACACGCACTCACTTAAACACACCCACATACCTTCACACACACATAAACACACCCCATTCACCAACATACATAGCTACATATCCACACAGACACGCATATTCCACACACATACATACAGATATAAACACAGAGACACACCTATAGAAACAAATGTAGACACATACACACAAACAGACATACGCGCACATACCCAATCACACACGCAGATACACACACACAGACACACACATGCAACACACACACAAACCAGCATACACACACGCAGACACACACAGACACATTTGCACAAACACACGCAGACACAAACACACACAGATACACTCGGAGACACACAAACACACACACAATCGCTGACACACACACACGCTAATGCTCACGAATACACACACACACACACCCACAGACACACACACGCAAACACATACGCAGACATACGTATACACAGGCACACACGCAGATACACATACACACACATGTTGACACATCCAGAGACACTACACACAGAGACAAACACACACAGAGACATACACAGATATATACACACAGAAACGCGCATATACACAGGCAATTACGCAGACACACATACACATACAGGCACATACAAAGACACACACACAAACACAACAACGACACACACACAAACACACGCAGGCAAACACACAGCTACATACACGTGGAACACACATACAAGCAAACACCCGCACAGACACATGTAGACACAGATACACATACAGACACATACACACAGTTCTACACATGCAAACACACACATACACACACACACACACACAGACACACATACATAGATACACACCCACAGACACACAATACAAATATCCTTACACACAGAGACGCACATATACACAGATATTCATGTCAACACACATATACACACAGGCACATACCAACACACACCACACACACAAACACAACAAAGACACACACACACAGCCACATACACATAGAACACACAGACACGCAAACACATTTAAAGGCACATGCAGACACACACAGAGATACTCTTTAGACACATACACACTGTCATACACACACACACGCACACCCACACAAACATACATACCTAGATACACACCCACAGACACCAAATACTAACACACGAAGACACAAAGATACACACTAACAAACACACATAGACACATACACAGAGACGCACACGCAAACGCACAGGCAGCCATGCACACGTAGACACACTTTGCATACATACACACAAACAGAGATAATCGCTCACAGACATATACCCACAGACACATACACACAAAGACACACAGAAGAAACGCATGCAGACACTCCACAAACACAACGAAGTGCACCCACACACAAACAAACACACGCATACACACACAGACACGTAAACACAGACACGCCTACACAGAGACATAATCACACACAATCCCACAGACACACACACACACACACAGTCACAAAAACATGCAGACATACAGGTGCACATACACACATTCACTCAACAACTTATACAATTACTGATACACACACAAACATGCCTACACTTACACACACATACATACCACACATTTACATGCCGCACATACATACATATCGTATACACCTTTTCAAATTATAAACTGGTAATGCAAAATGGAATATTAATTACATTTAAGGTGGCATATAATCACGTGTAAGCATGAAATGAAAAAGTTTGCGGTTAAATGAATAGGAACTTTTTGTATTTTTCAGATCAAGTGGTAGCTGGTTCCATAAATGAGCAGCAGAATATGCTAAACTTGTTTTAAATAAATATATTCTAGGTTTAGGTAAATGTAATAAGTTAAGCCTCTTGCTATTCGTAGGATTAATTTAATCTACTGGAAAAGGTAGTTGGAGTATTTTGAGATATAATTTTCTGAATAAATTTAGCTTTTTTAAAAATTAAACGTTTACTCAGTGGCAGAAGTCTTAGATGGCTATAGAGATTATTTTTGTCGGTAAATTTTCTATCTGAAACAATGCGTAAAGCGCGATTTTGAATGGAACTTAGTATTTTAACATTAGATTTCTACATGGCATTGGGCCAAAGGGCGAAAGCTCATGCGCCGCTGGATCGATAACAACAACAACATTAGATTTAGCACAGCCATCCCACACCGTGGAGCAATAGTCGACCTGTGTTTGGATGTAGGAAGCGTAAAAAAAATTTCGCGTATCTTCATCCAGGAAGTGCTGAATTTTGACAAGCTGATAAATTTTTGTGCAATTTTTTTAGCTATGATACAAACATGAGAATTCCAAGTTAAATGATTGTTAATTGTAAGGCCTAATGTTTTGTGCTCAGTTACATTAACAACAGGTAATTGATCTATGTAAAGCTCCAGTGATGGCTTGGCCAATGCTAATGTTTGTAACTTTTGTCATATTGTTATAAGCATAGATTTAGTTTTATTTATGCTAATTTGCATGCGATTGCTATTGCTCTATTTAATAAGATTATTCACCTCTTTCTATAAAGAACTTTTCAGCTCATTACAATTCTCGTGACTAGTATAAATTGTACAGTCGTCAGCAAACAGATCACATGTTATACTTAGATGTAATGGAAGGTCGTTAATATACGTGGCAAAAAGAAGTGGACATAGAATCGATCCTCGGGGCACGCCTATATTTAATTGAGTGGATTCTGACAGACAGTCATTGTAGGACACTCTTTGCCATCTATCAGATAAAAATAACCGCATTATTTTGACCAAGTTATCATTGGTTTTTAAGGTTTTTAATTTGTTAATGAGAATATCATGATCTACCATATCGAAGGCTTTCTTAAAGTCAACAAACACTGCCCCACAAATGTTACCACTGTTAATATTAAAATGCCAGTTGTCAGTTATTTTTTCAATGCCGTATGGCAAGAATGTTTAGGCCTGAAGCCTGATTGACTATCGATTATTAAGTTATTTTTAGTTAAATGCTGCAATGTTATTTTGTGTAAGTGTTTCTCTAACGGTTTTGACAGTGACCAGAGGAGAGAAATGGGTCTATAATTACATGGAGAGTTTACGTCCGCTGAGCCAGGTTTTAGCAGAGGATATACTTTGGCAGCCTTAAATGCTGGTGGAAAATAGTTTTTAGTAAGACATTGATTGTATATAAACGTTAAAGAATAGCTAATAACTGGTGCAGCACATCGAAGAATTCTATTACTGACTCCATCCAAGCCAGATGAGTTTGTTTGCTTGAGGCTGGAGAGATAGTTATACACATCATCGACAGACATAAGGGAAATCCCAGAAGGGATAGCTGTAGGGCACTTTTCCTCACATGATGTTAATAAACTTAAGTCACACTGTGAGTCCGTCTAGATGATGAGAGGTAAAGCACACATACGCACACACGCACACACAAATAATCTTTGCAAATGTTCATTGTCCGTTACGGTGAGAAAATGAATTTTTAAAAGCTTACTAATTCCAGTCTTGTTGTACGGAAGTCATTATTGGACAGTTAATCCAGTAGTAAAAAGTTATGTGGAAGCGGCAGATGTGGTACTTTTATAGACAAACGATAACAGATAAAACAGAGTACTAAAGATGGGAGCGGATTGTAGAATACTAATCATGATAGTATATATTTTTTTAAATAATATAATGTTA